GCCTGATTGAACTCAAGATTTGTAAAGAAGAAACACAATAAAATTTAGTAATCAAAATACAAAAAAAAAAAAAAAAAAGAAATAGGACAAGATTTCTCACCAGTGGCTCGCCAAGTGCTCGGAATGTCGTCTTGACCTCTCTCCCCATCTCCCCAAAGACCACCTCACCCCTCACAAAGAAGTACCGATCCTTCCAGTTCTTGTCACTTGAACGAAGGTCGGTCATCAAGTGAGATCGATCATGCCTGAGGTTGATAAGATATCGACCCTTCTCCTTGTCGTTTTCCTTTAGGAAATATGAATGCAGCAGCTCGTGCAGTCCAAACATCACCTGGTTCCACACACAAAGGTCTTCCAGTGCCATCAGCAACCTCCAACCGTTCGGCATGATCTAAGACGGGGCAATCATGAAGTGGTTGAGCACCTCCCAGGTAAGGCAAGGAATGGGAAACCTCAGCCCGTCATGAAACCACTTCTCGTAAACACTCACCCAGTCTTTTACCTCCCAATTGACCCGTTTGTACGATCGTGGTGCCCTGATCTCAACCAAATCCGGAATGTGATACATTGTCCGAATCAACCACACGTCATTATCCTTAAACACGGGCGGATAATCCCTACTCCAAATCCCACTGCCTTGTTGGCTCAGCTCGTCCTTAGAGCTACTACTGGACGAGGATAGACTACCAACTCCTTCAGAGTCTTCCTCACTCCCCCCTTGCCTGCCCGAACCACTCGAATTAGCAACACTCATCCCTGGGGCAGCCACATTCGCACCGGTCGATATACCCGTTGGAACGCCCCCTTGGGGCATCATCACCATGGTCGAGGCACGTTCGTACTCATTCCCAACATCTGCCCCAGCCTCACTCGAATTACTCGACTCCGAATCTAACATTTCAGCCTATCCAACCTACCTGACCGACCGATTCTTTTCCACAATCTAAACTCCCCAAATCCTAAGTGTCAGATCACCGCTCGCCCTACACCACTGACCGAGCAACACTCTAAGAACACTTTTTAACTATTGCTCGCCCTTCAGCATCGATTGACCTATCCCTGTTAACACAACTTACCCTATCCTCAACTTTCACCACCCTAAGTTAGAACCCTGATCGACCCTCGTAGCCAACCAACCTGGTCCCCATATTCAGCACTACTTTATCCCATTCGCCCCAAGCGACCAACCTACGCTCGAGCCCTAAATCCCTTTCCAATAACCCCACTCGCCCTAGGTCACCGACTGACTACTCACAACCAGGGGATAGCTTTACAACCACCTGCTCGGTCTGGACGACCGACGACTTGTTTAAACTCCCCACACGATCCCTTCACTACTCGGTCGGATGGACCAGAAGACCTACCTACCCCAATTAGAGCAATTTCTTTTCAACTCAAATGAGACACGTTTGCTCGACTCGGTCAGGCAGACTGAGACGAGACGAGCCGAATCGAAGTANTTTCTTCTATTATTTATGATATATAGATACAAGACAAAATACTCTGAAATCGACAACACGAATAGTTTCTAGGGCATACACTAATATACACTAACACTCGGGCCCTGATAATGGCATCATCTGCAATGGTGAGGCACTGCTCCTTGAGGGACTCAACCTCTGTAGCCTTCTCAGCCAACTCTCTCCTCAGCCTCTCCAACTCACCCTACCCGACCGACCGATTTGGTTCTGTAGTCTTAACTCCCCAAATCTGAAGTGTTGGATCAAGACTCGCCCTGCACTGCCGACCAGCCTATCCAAACCCACAACCTTAACTTCTCACAACCTTAAGTTAGAACCTTGATCGACCCTCACAACCGACTGACCTAGTACCCGGATTCAACACTACTTTGTCTCGTTCGCCCCAAGCAACCGACCTAAGCTCGAACGCTAAACGCCTTTCTAATAACTTCACTCGCCCTGTGTCACCGACTGACTACTCCAAACCAGGTGACAGCTTTACAACCTCTCACTCGGTCTAGACGACCGACCACTTGTTCAACATACTCCCCGCACGATCTCCTAACTACTCAGTCGGGTTGACTGGGTGACCTACCTACCCTACTTGAAGCTGTTTCCTTTCAACCCAGATCCAACCTTTTCACTCGATTCGGTCAGGCAGACAGCTCGGGCCGAATCGAGGTACCACGTAACCGATTTTTTCATTTTCTTACCCCAAAATGAAGAGCGAATCACCACCATACACATGGAAAAGATCCACGCCACCTAGGGGATAGCAACACAATACGGAATCCCCCGCTGAATCACCCTTCATACCCGACTGAGCCAGCACATAGAAACATATCGGCCCCCTCCACGAAGCTAACACACTTTCATGCTACCCATGTCCAAGAGATCCTCCCAATCGGGGCGATTAGCTTGGAATAGCATACCCCACTTTCTACCTCGAGACGAGCGAGGCAAGAGAAGTCCTGTCTACTCGGTCTTCCATAGCGGACGAGCGAGCACCTAAGTTTTATCCTTCGCACAACCCTTGCCTTGGATCAGACCGCTCAACCCGAGCCTCCACACGAATGTTGGGCCCGGTGAAACTCATTCGACCCAAAGGAACCCAGTAAAGAGCCCCGTGGGGTCACCCAAGCATCTGCCATGCGCCCAAGCAAGCTGGCCGAGTTGATTTCCACCACCAATTCGCCCCAAACACCTCAACCGAACGCACCTTTAGTTGGTGTCTAGCTTACTTATTTGACCTAGCATACCGATCAAATGCACCTGAGATGAGGGGCTTGTTTCATTTTTCACTCGGCCGGCCATACTGAGCGGATACGTGTACCCCATATGTTCCATTTTGATTTCAATCCGCTCGACCCCGCACACCGATTTGCCATATCCCCTTGAATTGGTTGCACAATCCGGCTTAGCAAAGGGCACCAAATGACCCTTCACCATAAATCATCTGCATCAGATCGGTCAGTTACGCCAACAATCGATCATTCGGGAAGGGCGACCGAATACGCCCCGCTCGCTTCCTACTCTCTGACTTAAGAAAATCTTAACTCAGAGAGTGAGGGGCAAACTGTTAAGGTCAAAAATCGTCCTTGGCCCAAATGGAAAAACGGGTCTGACAGTAAGGAAAAGGCCAGGCCCAATCCCGATGCAGCCCAATCCAAAACTCCCCAGATTAGGCCCATTTGATACAAGGTACAATCGGCCCAAACCATCTGAACACAGGCCTCCTAATCCTAGTACACTTCCTGGATCTATGAATGAATTCAAAGCCCACGGTCACCTACAGATCACACTCCTACTCGAACATTTATAAGGTAGTCCACTACGATCCCAACTCCTTCAAGGTCCATGTCAGAGTCATACTTGGACTCCCTTTCACGCCAGGATAATGGGGCAAAGGATACATCTTGGAGGGAACAGATTACTACGAGAACTCCCAATCCCACCGGGATTGGGAGACCAAACTGTCACTATTTAAACAGAGGCCAGCCCTCTCACAAGGGGGACATTACACCTTCAGACCATAGAGTTCCCGCTTCAGAACTTCACATTACAGCCGTAGTCACAGTCCCTGACTAGACTTCTGGTAACCTTTCTACTCCCTAGCCCTCACTAAATCAGCCTCTTTCAGCCTTGCTGACTTGAGCGTCTAAGTGCCTACGGCAAACACCACCCTGGTGTTTTCCGTTGCTTCATGTTTGTTTCTCTACGTGTGCAGGTATAACAGATCGCTAGTGGCCCCAATCTCACGGGATCAGACCCTCCTTCCGTACAGGTAGATTTTTACATCTACAATTACTTATAACATTCTTATTTTCTTCACATTGATTATTGATCAGGTCCTTGTATATTTAAGTACAATCTAATACATAATCCTAATTAGAGATGAATAAACAAAATTAGGATCGAACTATCTAGCATGAACTCAGGGTTAGCATATCTTATGATATATATTATGTTATCCCACCAGAGATTGATTAATTAATGTTCAAAAAAAGGCTTTGATTAAGTTGAGATTTCGTTTGTTTGTAGGTTTTGAATTTTAATGTGAGATTAAGAAATCGTGCTGAAACTTAAATGCCTTCATGGCCATTCTTTCGAATGCTAGATGTGGAATAATAGTGACCGTATATATATTCATGAAATAAATCTGAGCGGTTCAGGGGGGCAATGAGTTAATTTAATAGCTGTCTTGAATCTCTTGAAATCAGAGCAAGTGGGAACTCGGTTGTAACTGTTAGCATATATTTCTGAGCCACTTCATCTTCTTTTTTCTAACGCCCCCAATCAACTGCATTAACTACGCGGTCAAGTCTTTGTCGCAGAAGACCCAGACCTTCATCTTCTGATAATAACAAAAAGTCCTGCAATCTTAAACCAAACTAAACGCATAACCCCTCTGAACTATTAGCGTATATTTCCAAGCCACTTAATCTTCTTTTTTCTAACACCCCCAATCAACTGCATTAACTACAGGGTCAAGTCTTTTTCGTAGAAGACCTAGACCTTCATCTTCTGATAATAACAAAAAGTCCTACAATCTTAAACCAAACTAAACGCATAACCCTTCTGAACTGTTAGCGTATATTTCCAAGCCACTTAATCTTCTTTTTTCTAACGCCCTCAATCAACTGCATTAACTACGGGGTCAAGTCTTTGTCGCAGAAGACCAAGACCTTTATCTTCTGATAATAACAAAAAGTCCTGCTATCTCAACCCAAACTAAACAGATAATCTTTATGCTTGATTCCAACACCCTAGAATCCCTCCAGTGGCCTATTCATTTATAGTGACTTTAGTCTTGACAGGTATTTTGTGTCCGAGAATGTCATAGCTCTTCCTACATTTTCTTGGAAGTAATAGAAGACCAGGAGGATGTAACTTACCTAACCCGGCCCTAATAAAAACAAGTCCCATGGTGGTCGACCTCATGGGACATTTTGCCCCAAGAGAGGCATTTACTTGACCAAAAGCATTCTATGACAAGTGACAACTCATTTAATATTTCTGTTAATGTGAAGCACCAAAATGATGTCGTTAAACTTTAAGTTCAACGCTGTCGTTTTAAGCGGTTGGCTACATGAAAAGATCCTAACCATTGAAAGCATAGAGCATCTAACAGCCAGGTTCATCCCTTCTCAAAACAGTATAGAGCGCGATACTTACTCTGTCGAAGAAGCAGTTTTACATACTGCTTTGTTTTAGGTTGTACAGTTCTCTGTTAGGGTTTGCTGCGAATCTTATCGATTGATTGTAATCTTAGGGTGATTGGTTGTAATCACAGGTTGAGGGTTGTGTTTCCTTCGAGTCTTGAGAATCTAAGTGTAGTATTCTCATAGGGAAGATTGCAGTCTGTATTGAAAGTAAGATACGCAATGTGTGAACTGATTGGGTTTGGATCTGGTTATATTTGATTGTAATCTTTAGTGCGGTGAGCCCCGAGTTTTTGGAGCTCAACGTGGATGTAGCTTATCCTATATTGGATAAGCGAACCACGGTAAAATCGGTGTTCTTGTTTCTTGATTCCTTTTATAGTTTGATTGTGTGTGTTGTGTGTGTGGAATTGTGGATTGTTAGGTTAGGGGATTTGCAGATTATCTCTACAGTGGAATTGTGGATTGTTAGGTTAGTGGAACAAACTAGTTGATAAAGTGGGTTTGGGTAGAACTCAAACCCAAAAGCTAGCTCAAGGGAGGAGAAAGCCCCATGTAGTAGGGAACAAGCTAGTTGATAAAGTGGACGTGTAGGAGGGAGCCCACTTGTGTAAACCATGACAGTCAGGTGTGGCGATGTGGGACAAATTCAACTTCAACTACTCTGGTTGGACTCTGTTTGCATGTGTAAAATAATTGCATAAAAAGAAAAAGAAAATGCAGAGGATGTGTGCGTATATATATCTACATCTTCATATTCAATTTCTCATATCCAAAATTTGCTTTTATTCTTCTTGGAAATAAAAAGATGTGGGGATTATTTTGGCATTATCCAGTCCTCTGCCTCTTCTTCTTGTTCTTCCATCTTCAAGTTATTTATTTATCTTCTTTTAACTCTTCTTCTCCATTACAGAAACTTTGCTCTCCTGAACAAAGCTCTGCCCTTCTCCGTTTCAAGAACAGTACCTTTTCGGCTAATGCGTCTTCAAGTTTTTCTGAGACAGATTCCTGTAAAAAGAGGGTAGTGATTGCTGCACTTGGGATGGGGTTACTTGTGATAGGTTCACCGGTCATGTGATTGGACTTGACTTAAGTTCTTGTGGGCTTTTTGGTCCTATCAGCGACAATAACAGCCTCTTCCACCTTCACCATCTCCAGAAGCTCAATCTAGTTGACAATTATTTCTTTGGATCCAACATCTCATCCGAGTTTGGTAAGTTCATGAAATTGACACATCTTAATCTTTCTTCATCTGGTTTCTGTGGTCTAGTTCCAATGGAAATCTTTCACTTATCTAAGCTTGTTCTGCTTGACCTTTCTTATGACTCTGTGGAACTGCGTCAACATGGTTTTAAAAAACTCTTGCAAAACCTGACAGAACTAAGATATCTTCATCTGGAGTATGTCAACATGTCTTCTGTTGCAGTTGGTTCTTTTGTAAACCTGTCTTCTTCTTTGATATCTCTCAGTCTTCAGAGTAATTACATGCAAGGCAAGTTTCCAAATGAGCTTTTCCGATTTCCATTTCTCCAGCTGCTCAGATTGTCTGACAATCAAAATATAAAGGGTCATTTGCCAAATTTCAACAGGAGCAATCCTCTTAAATTATTGGACCTCTCTTCCACAAAATTTTCAGGGAAATTACCCGACACAATCAGCAATCTGATGCACTTGAATGATTTGCGTCTTCATGGATGCAAATTCGAAGGGTCAATTCCACCGTCACTTGAAAACCTTACTGAAATCACTTTTTTGGATCTATCATCCAACGGTTTTACTGGTCAAATACCAACATCAATATCAAAACTTGGCCAGCTCACTGATCTTAATCTTGGAGGCAACAAATTTTCTAGGTCATTTACTCTGTCACTTGAAAACCTTACTGAAATTACTTTTTTGGATCTATCTTCCAACGGTTTTACTGGTCAAATACCAACATCGATATCTAAACTTGGCCAGCTCACTGATCTTTATCTTGGAGACAACAATTTTTCTGGGTCATTTCCTCCATCACTCGAAAACCTTACTGCAATCACTTTTTTTGATCTGTCATCCAACGGATTTACTGGTCAAATACCAACATCAATATCTAAACTTGGCCAGCTCACTAGTCTTAATCTTCGAGACAACAAATTTTCTGGGCCATTTCCTGATGTTTTCGGTAATCTCAGTAAATTAACTGGAATAGACCTCGGCTCTAATTATCTCAACAGCCAATTGCCAACATCATTATTCAACCTCAAACAACTTCTTTCTTTAAACTTTTCTGATAATCAACTCGAGGGTCATTTACCCAGTCAGCCTAGTGACCTTTCTTGTCTAAATGTTCTCAGTTTAGGTCATAATCTTCTAAGTGGCAAAATACCCTCATGGTTGTTTACTCTGCCATCTTTGGCAAGGTTAGATCTGTCTCACAATTTGTTCACCAGCTTTGAGTACTTTCCACAGATGGAAAACCTACACGAGCTTGACCTTTCATTCAATTTGCTCCAAGGACAACTAATGCTTCTACCAACTTCCATTAAAGTCGTCTCAGTTTCAAGCAATAATTTAACAGGGGTGATTCCTCTGTCATTTTGCAATTTGAGCTCTCTTAATGTTATTGACTTATCAAATAACAGTTTTAGCGGAAAAATTCCACCATGTCTTGGAAACTGTAGTATGAAGCTCATGTTCCTAAATTTGGAGATGAACAACTTCCATGGTAGTCTTGGATCTCTAAAATTTGCAGATGCCAGTGGTTTGACGGCTCTTATGCTTAATGGCAATCAATTGGAGGGACCATTACCGCCATCTTTTAATAATTGTATCAATTTGGAAATCCTAGATGTTGGGAATAACATGATTAATGATACCTTCCCCTACTGGCTTCTTCCAATCCTTCAAGTTATTATTTTGAGATCTAATCGATTTCATGGTCCCATTGATAATTCCAATGCAACATTTCCCTTCCTTGGGTTGAGAATACTCGACCTTTCCCACAATTAATTTACTGGTCCTTTGCCAATAAATTATTTTAACAATTTTGTAGCTATGATGCCTTCGTCCATGGATGATGTCGAAGTCGGATATATGGAGAATTTGTATGGCCAATATTATTCTGTAACATTGTCAATCAAAGGAGTTGAGAGGGAAATAGACAGGATTCTAAACATTCTCACAACCATAGATTTGTCCGACAACCTGTTTCGAGGACCAATTCCAGAAGTGATTGGAAAGCTACAGTCACTCATACTAGGGGTGTGCAAATCCGGATATCCGATCCGAATATGGCATTTTCTGATCTGATCCGAATCCGATCCGAATTATGCGGATATCCGGATTTACGGATATCCGATTATTCGGATCAGATAACCGGATATCTGAATGTGATCCAAATTTAACAATTTTCTTTTTAAAATCAAATAATTCTAGAAATAAAATTGAAATTATAATTCCTTTACAATTACATGATAAAAGTATCAAAAAAAATTAACATGAAGCACAAAACATTTAACTTATGTTGTCCAAACATTTAATTCTTTGAATGTGTTTCATATGAGCTTTATGTACACAGCATTTTTGCTTGGTCTGGAACTTGTAGCTGATACAACTCCACATTTTCAATTACTTCCTTCGGAGCACCTCGACCCAGAAACGTGAGAACCTATGGCCACAAACCAAACACCATACTAAGAACATCTGCAGATCATCCTTTAGAAACGAAATATTTACAGATTTTGACAGAAAATGAAATAAAAACGTTACTGTTAATTTTTTTTCCAGCTATTTTAATCCAAGGCCTCTTATTCCAAGCCCTCAGAAACAATGAGGACATTACAATTCATGGATGAATATATAATATATGAGAGAAAGCAATGTCATTTTTGAACTATCATCAGTTCTATCATAACAGTTGGAGTCTTGGAGAAAGTACAGAACAAAAGCAAGATGATGGCAAAGATGTTGATTAGTAGACATAACAAAATACGGTCAAACTACTTCATTATTGCTTGCTTCGAGAGAAAAAACAGAAATGGGAATGAGGAAACAAGAATCAAACCTCATTTGCCTCCACTCAACTTGTTCCTATCTCACTATCTCAGCAGTCAGCACTTCACCTTTCGGTGAAGCAAGCAAGCAATTCATCTCAAACAAACCAAATTAAAACATTTTCAGTTTCTCATAATATTCCTTTTCCACTTTTCTATCACCAACCATGCTTCCTTCCACAATAAACAAAGCCAGGAAAATTCTCCAGTGGATTAGATTTAGGGGTCAAACTACAATACCCAGATACTTTTTTCGGTGATAAAGATTAAATTTTCGGTGATAAAGATTAAATTATAAAAACAAAGTTTTATTGTAGTCAAATTTGTAGATTCAATATTTATTGTAGCCTCAGGGATATATGACGTGAACAAAATTCAGCAACTCTAAATTCTAAAGAAATTAACTTACGATCGATTTTGGGCTTTAATCGTCAGAGAGACTGAGATCTGACAGAGTTGAGCGAGTGACACTGGCCGCTGTGCGTGTTCGAGCGAAAGAGACAGAGAGAGTTGAGCGAGAGAGAGTGACTGAGTGAGAGACTGAGCTGAGATCTGGTCTAAGAGTTTGAGTGACTGTGAGGTCTGTGCGTGACTGCGTGTTCCAGCGAGGCAGCGGCCAGCGAGAGCCGAGAGAGACTGAGACTCTGAGAGTGAGAGAGACAGAGAGTGTGTGAGGTCTGTGCTGTGCGTGACTGCGTATGCGTGTTGCCGTGTTCCAGCAAGAGAGACTAAGAGTGAGAGACAGGCTTCCAACTTCTGAGTTCCGGCGAGAGCTGAGAGAGACTGAGACGAGTGAGAGAGACAGAGTTGAGTAATTGAATTTGAGTTAATTGTGACATTGTGTTAGACTTAGGGTTATTGACTTATTGTTAGTTGGTACACTCAAAAGTCAAAACGACATAGTTTTGTAAAATCCGGATCGGATTCGGATATCCGAATCTTTAACATTTCTGATCCGGTATCCGATCCGAATATTTGGATTTTTTAAAATAACGATCCGTATCCGATCCGAATTTTCGGATATCCGATTTTTACGGATCGGATCCGGATCGGATACCGGATATCGGATTTTTTTGCACAGCCCTAACTCATACTCCTCAACTTCTCTCACAATAGCTTAACTGGTGATATACCATTGTCATTGGCAAATTTGACACAACTTGAAGCATTAGATCTCTCTTACAACAAGCTCGTTGGAATAATTCCAGTGCAATTGACAAGTCTTAACATTTCTTTTAGTGCTAAACTTGTCATACAATCAGCTTGTGGGACTTATACCTCAAGGAAAGCAATTTGATGCATTTCCAAAAGAGTCCTTTATTGGAAACTTGGGCTTGTGTGGATCAACATTGTCAAAAAAATGCAGCAATGAGGAACCAAGTCAACCACCATCAATAATCCTTGAAGAAAACAATGCTTCAAGCTGGTTTGATTGGAAAATTGCCTTGATGGGATACGGATGTGGATTGGTACTTGGCATATCTATTGGTTACATTGTGTTCTCAACAGGAAAACCACAATGGTTTGTGAGATTGATTGAAAGAGAGGGTCCGAAAAAGGTGAGAAGGCTTAATAGGGGAAGTAGAGGAAGAAGAAATTAGGCTTCATTTGGCTCAAGTTTAGGAATACTACTTTTAGTATTCCAATAAAGTTAAACAGTAAAATTGCAAAAACTCACAATATTATTCAATATTATTCAACTTTTTTTAAACCCTCTAAGTTTATTAATTTAATTAAATACCCATAAATATATTTTTTTAAATTGCAAAAACACCCCAGCAATCCACATTTACCAGATTCCAGCAACCACTACCGGAAGATAGCCGGAATCTGGTATAATGGCACACTACCAGCTGAATCTGGCCGGTAGTGCGCCGATCTAGCCTTTTCCGGTCAGATCCACGGTGGATTTGGTCAGAAAATGCCAGATCTAAGGCCAAAGATCTGGCCGTAACCAGTCGTCAACGACGACCAACAAACGGTTGTCGTTGACCATCAATGACGGCCGTATATTTGGCCATCGTTGACAAGCAAATTCGACTAGATCTGGCCGTCAATGGCCAGATCTAGCCATAGATCTGGCCTTTACCAGCCAGATCCACCGTGGATCTAGCCGAAAAAGGCCATATCGGCGTACGACCGGCAAGATCCAACCGGTCATGCGCCGATACGGCAACTCCAGCCACCGTCCGGCATTGGTGGTCGGCTGTCCGTATTTGATGGGTGGGTTGGGGGTGTTTTTGTTAACTTTTAATGTTTTATTATAGGGGTGTTTTGTAAATAAACAAACATAGGGGGTATTTTTATTAATTTGTAAATCCTACATCGTATTTTTCAAAAAAAATTTCTCAAAAATGTAAAAATGTGAACCAAATGGAGCCTTAGCATCTGAAAGTTGCTCTTCAATTTTGTAAGTGCTCTTATAGCTATAAATTGTGTTTTCTTCATGACAGCTTTATCATAATGAACATGGCTAGAAAAGAGACATTGAATTCATATTTAATCCAACAATTTTTGAGATTATCACGCTTTGTTTTATTTTCTCAAACGACTTGGAAGAGTTGATAACATGGAAGAGTAGTATTTGGGAGCTGGATAGGCTGCTATAGTCTGTCTCTGAGTAATCTTCAATCTTCTGTATTCTAAATTTCCATGTGAGATTGAGAGTTAGAATTGCCATAACTATGTATGCAAGAAATGTTAATTTTGAAGAATTCCAATTTAATAAAGTTCTTAATGTTCCCTCTCTTGCCTTGGATCCCTAGTTAGTAAATAGGGTACGGCAAAAAAACGGTACAAGAATTTTACGGGTATAATACGGCAAACGATGAAAAATACGTTTATAAAAATTCAGCCATAAAATTCAGATACGGGAAAAATACGGTACGAGTATATACAGGTTTAATACGGTACATTATCAATAATACATTTTGAAAAATACGGCAATATCAATCTTAGTTTTAACACTTTTATGGACTACCTGGTTTTGAAAATTCATATTTTAAACATACTTATTTTTAAAAAAATTAAAAAAAAGAAGTTAAATTCTTATTCCAAATATTACCATTATTTCAATACAAAATCAATAAATTAATACTAAATCAAAACAGAAAATTCTGTTCAAATTGGATAAGAAATATATTTAAAATTAAAAAAAAAAAATCCTAATACAAGTATATATTTCCTCTATTACCAAGGATCCTGTCCTTTTAAGTTTTAAGGCTTTAATCACTCACAGTGGCCATAATAATCACCCGAGGACCACCCAAAATGTCGATTAAAATCCCTCATGAAACGTCAAGTATATCCTTATAGCCTTCCCTAAACTTCCCAAAGCCAAAAAGACAGAAAGAATAAAAAAAGAAAAGCAAAAGGTGGTATTACAGTAAATTCTCAATCCCATAAACCAAAAAAAGACATCCTCCACTTCTACTTAAATTGTTTGGTTTGGAGTCCAGCCAAGCAGACCAGACCAGACCAGACCAGTCAGCCTCTAACATAAAACATGCTTCTCTACATCTTACTTTACCCTTTTTGTGTTTTTTTTTTTTTTTTTTAACAAACAGATCTCACTTAACTACTCTGAACCAATTGTATTTTTGTTGTTGTTGTTGTTCTAAAGCACTTCTTCTTCTTCTTCTTCATCTATGGCTGGCTACAGAGCTGAAGATGACTATGATTACCTCTTCAAGGTGGTGTTGATTGGTGACTCTGGTGTTGGCAAGTCTAATCTGCTTTCCAGGTTCACTAGGAACGAGTTTAGTCTCGAGTCTAAGTCCACTAGACAACCTTCCTCTTCCTCTTCTTATTCTTCGATCGCTTCTTCAAATACTAGTAACTAGACCTGGCAAAACGGGTATAGACCCGCGGGTCGACCCCATACCCAAGTAAAAAATATAGGGTATGGGTCTAATGTATTGGACCAGTACCCGGCCCGGTTCGTATATTTAACGGGTTATACAGGTCAACCCGTGGGTGCCCGTTAAAAAAAAAAAAATTGAAATCCCTAAATTTTGGGATCTGTTCGACAGTTCAAGTCTCTAACTCTCATCTCATTCTCATCCCATCGTCGCCATCTCTGATCTCCTCTCTCTCAAGTTTCACCGTCGCAAGTCGCAACTCACCATCTCCTTAGTCCTCTCTCTCACTGTCACCATCTCCTCGGTCGGTATTGGTACGAAACCTTCACAGTTCATTTCCCTCTTTCCAGTTCCTTAGGGTTTCAAAATTAGACTCAAAATGCTTCATCTCTACTGCAATCTCCATCGTCCATCTCCTCCTCTGCTTCTTCCTCTCCAAAAACAATTTTTCCCTACTCCCTCTCCCATCGAGTACGCAATCTTCCTCTCTTCATTTTAACTTGTTTAAATCTTTCTAGCGTTTCATTTAACGATTTTTGTTTTTTTATTATTTAACAGCCGAGAGAAGTTCAATTTAAATGAAGGTTTTGTAAAGATTACAAAGATTTCGATAGCGGTAAACAGCAAGAAGAGTGAAAGGAGTAGTGGAGAGGGTTCGAGCGGTGAGAAATGGGTCCATGAAGGGTTCATTACAGAGTCACTATTCACTACCCAATGGTATGTTTCGAGTTCGTTTAGATAATGAAGACTTGATTCTTGGTTATATTTCGGGAAAGATTAGGCAGAATTTTGTTCGTGTATTACCTGGAGTCTGGAGATAGAGTCAAGTTGAAGTAAACCATTATGATACAAGCAAGGGTCGAATAATTTATAGAATTCGCGACCGAAGTTCCAACGGTTAAGTTGTTGATTAATCTTGATTGTAATTTTTGTATTTAAATTAATTGTTATGAAAATTCATAAATTGATATTTATGTGTGCGTGATGCAGGTTGCTGGGTAGATTATCAGATTTCTGATATAAAGGTAACACTGGTACAGGTTATAACATGAAATGGTTTTCATTCAATAAAGTTGATGGTTCTTTTCTTCATTATTTTTCATTTATTTATATTTGGGTAGAGGAACTTAGTGACATTAGTAGATTATGAGAGTTAAATTTGTAATATGAATGAGGAAATGTAGTTTGCAACCTGGGACACAATGATTTCAAGTAATGGATTGTTAAATATGTTATTGACCATAAACTCCTTCACATGGTTATTCATAGCCAGAAGGTCAAAATGAGAAATATTTGCAGCTCAATTTCAGATAAGGCATCTAAATTTCATTATGAAGCTTGGTTGATTGTGTAATACTAAGAATATTTTGTCCTGTTTTGTTGCAGGTGAATGTTATGTTGTGGATGGCCGCTTATTATTGTAGTTTATTGAGAGGTGTTAATGTCACATGGTTGTGAGGTGTGATAGAAGAGGATTATAGTATGTGTCTGTGATTTTATTTATACCTCTATATAGTTAATTTGATGAGGTATGTATACCTATTTTTTATTATTATTGTGATTGTAATTTGTACTCATGACATGATTGAGAGTAATAAAGAGTTGAAGAATAAATCCTTATATTTGAATTAGCAAATTGAATGAGTAGGTCGTGGGTGGCTCAAGGAAGAATTGTGATGTTATTACTCCAACTGTGAATGGTAAGCTTAAAAGTAATTAAGGAGAGAAACAACCTTGATGTATAGAGAGCTTAAGAATTTGTGGTTGCAAAGCGAAGGAAGTTGGTACACCTGTTCCTGTTTCTTCAATGTTTGTGTTCATGCGTGGTTTTTGCTTATTGGGTTATTGAATTTAATCCACATGCTAAATTCAATAAACCCACGTTTATTTTGGTTCTTATTTATTTATATTCTAAATTGAATTGAATTTAGAGTAGTTGATTTAGGGGGTGTAAATGTAAAAAATTAAAACTGCAGGAATTTTGGGCTGCAGGAATTTTGGGGGTGTAACTGTCATAATTGAAAACTGTTAGGGGTGAAACTGGAAAAACTAAAACCTAGAGAGAGAAAAAACGGGTACCCGCGGGTCCACCCATACCCGCATAGGGCAGGGTACGGGTCCAATATTTTGGACCCGTATACTTCGACCCGTATTGGACCCGTACCCGACCCACCCACCCGTTTTGCTAGGTCTACTAGTAACAAAGCTTTGTTACCTTCCTCCAGAAGCCATGGCCGCATGCTTGTTCGCGAATAACAAAGTTCAGTTTTTTTTGTAATAATTCGCAAATAATACGTGAATTATACACGAATTATACGAATATTTATATTATATGTGTATAATTCGACAGTCTTTATAAAATACATAAATACATGTTTTATATGCGAATTATATAGTTGACCATATAATTTACGTTTTATACGCGTATTTACTAACTAGGCTTGGATCATTGTTACTTTTCTGAAATTTGTGGTCCATTGGTATTGAAACTCAACTTATTTGTACTGCCTACTGCAGATTTCGGAAAAAGGGTACTGGAATACCTTTCCCCCAAGTATTGTTACTGTTTAAAGATGTACTTTTTTTACACTATAAATTTTTTTCATCAGGAACACTACCGGCACATTATGCTTTCTTCAGGTAACGTCACGGTGACCAAAAGTCTTTTGTCATCATGGACATGGCTGACTAATAACCGGTTTTAGTGTATAAGATAAAATTTTGGGAACACATTGACCAAAAGAAGTCCCTGGTCAAGTCAAGGGATGGTCTGCTAAGTGGAATCAGCATTGATATTTTTAATACTGATTGCATATTTTTTTTAATTAAATTAAATTGAAAATAGTATAAACAGAGCATGATAAATACTACACATTTTTTTTTTTTTTTTTAGTCATTTTCTGAAAAATTAAATATCAAATAAATATTATGCGCACCTCGACTAATCCCCTAAGGTCTTGAAATTAAAAACCAGGTATACCCTGTAGTGGCTTAGCAATATCCAAGAAGAATTAAACTTAAAACCTCTTGAGTAATATACTCAAGAGTCTCTATCGCCCCACCTAAGAGGGGTTAATAAATTACATATTGTTATCTGGTTGTAAGAGATATCAATGCAATGAGAATCTAATAAAAAAAAGGTTTATTACACCATAAAATTCTAACACTTGCTGTAATTAGCATTCAATCCAATGTTTTATATATATATGAAATTTTCAATTAAAAAAAAAAAAAAAAGGTGCAATGCTTCATTCATGGGAAAAAGTACCTGCAACAATCGGCAACAAGATGACAATTCTAGTATTTATTTAAATTCACAAAACATGTTTCAAGAGCCAACAAGTTGGAATTGGCTTTACAGTTTTTGAAGTTTGCACCATGAAAATGTAAAGATGTTTTCCAGTGTTTAGTACGTCTTTTAAGGGCCAGGGCTGTAGCGGAAACTTTCCAAGTCCTTGCATTCTAAAAAATCAGTTATATCAAGATATTGTTCATTTTGGGCCTATGAGGCCCGTATGGTTTCATTTTGGGTTTCATGCAACAAGTTTATCTAGCTTCGTTCCATAATTGGGAAGACTGACTTCAAGTATTTTAATCATGAAGGTTGTTTCGTCAACCTTTCCTTTAATACGCAGGACTTTCCTCGCCTGTACTTCTGCCTTTTCCATAACTTTTTTCATTTCAAGATTAAAACATTATGCAGCACAAGCAACGTAACCCACTAATGGTTCATTTCCTACTGATTCAGTAGTCAATTTTGAAGGAAGGAAACACCTCAGATAGCAAAAAACATACACTTGAGGTTAATAATATATGAATAAAATCACACCACACAAAAAGATATAATTTTACGTGATTCAGCATAACCAGCCTATATCCATACACACGATATACAAGAGTACATAATATCATAAACTCAATACATAATTAATAGAACGTAAACAATCCTAGTTTCTAAGACAATCTACCCATGGTGTTCAATAACCAGCCTACATCTATACACACAATATATAAGAGTACACAATATCATAAACCCAATATATAATTAATAGAACGAAAACAATCCCAGTTTCTAAGACACTCTACCCATGGTGTTTAATAACTCTTACATCAAATACTTTGTGTTCTCATATTCTCTCATAACCTTAAATTGGTTTTCATCTCTATATTTATAGGTAGGATATAGGATATTCTATTTCTAATAGAATTCATATTTAAATTCCTAATAGGACTTCTAAATTATATTCATATTTATAATTGTATTATTTATTAAATAATTTTTCTAAAGACATATAATTTCATATGGAAACAAACACGAAAGTGAGCCACAATATCCCAACAGTAACACCCCAAACTTGACATACAGTAAATGTACCTCAAGCCAAAGTGGTATCCCTAACTATTCAACATAGCCTTACAATTATTGATACTTAACAAAAAACTCCCAGATAAAAACTTATTAAGAACTGCAATTTTAAAAACCTTACCAATTACACCACTCCAAAACCTTAAAGTTTACACATAAATGAAACTAAATCCAGCAAGAAATTAACCTAATATTAGCCGCAATGAAATCCCTATGGAGAGATATTACGGTGTTGAATAAGGTCATAGCTCAATTGATATTACCTCTGCACCATTAAATTTTTTACTTTTATATTCCCTTATACATTAATTCTTATTACAACAAGTTACACGCTTATCCATCCCTTTGTGGCCAAATGATAAGCCCTTTAGTCACTAGGGTTAGCTATATCCAGAGATTCTGTGTTCGAGTAGTAAGAGAGGCACCTACCACAATTATGCAATTTTCTTGGTCCATTGGACTTGTAAAGTATTCCATGACCTTGAGGATTAAGCGAGCTCGACTGGCAATTGTACTCGGATACCTTAGTTATTAAAAAAAAAAAAAAAGGGTTACATCGCTTCTATCTCTTATTTATTGATATCTTCTAGACCACATTAAATATTTAGTACAAGCCACAACATATAACTTCTGAAGCAAACTAATATGCATATCTATAACAGCATATAATTTCTCCAATTAGCAAGGAGACAGAGGATGATAAGGAACTGGAACTAATTCAAGGTCATTTTTTCTTCGCACTGCGAGACCAAAACCCTCACTCATGTCAAGATCTTCTAGCTTTTCTCCACTGGGAAGTTTCCAATCAAAATGATATAGCAACTGGGCCAATGGAAGCTCCACATTGGCTACACCCATTGTTATGCCAGGACAAACTCTCCTTCCAGCTCCAAATGGGATGAATTCAAAATGAGCCCCCTTGTAATCAATTGAACTGTCTAGAAATCTCTCAGGATAGTACTTCTCAGCTTGGCTCCAATGATTGGGATCCCTCCCTATTGCCCATGCATTTACCAAAACTTTAGTCTTGACAGGTATTTCGTAACCGAAAATCTCACAGCTTTTCCTACATTCCCTTGGAAGTAGCAACGGAGCAGTGGGGTGTAATCTCATAGATTCTTTGATTGCTGCCTTCAAATAATTCAATTCATGAAGGCCTTCTTCATCAACTGTTCCTTTCATACAGAACACATTCCTCACCTCTGCTTGTGCTTTCTCCAAGGCTGTTGGATTTTTTAGCAATTCTGACGTTGCCCATTCTACAGTTGTAGAAGATGTATCACTCCCAGCAGTGAAAACGTCCTAAAATAGCAGAGTAAATATTTTAGCAAAGATTTTACTAAAAATCAGTTTGAACTTATGCTGAATCGGATACGAATAAAAGATAATTAAACATACTAACCACGATGACTGCTTTGATGTTGTCATTACTTAAGGTGAATTCATGGTCTCCATTATTCTGCAAGTTCAAAAGAACGTCTAAGAAATCTTTATGATCATCATCCTCTTCACGCTCATTTGTCTTCCTTGTTGCCCTTCTACTTTTATGCTCATCGATAATGGCGTCAAACAATCTATCAACTCTGTCATGAATCTCCTTAATTTTACTCTTTACCCCACTGATTGAGTCAATAAATTCGAAGGAAGGAAACACATCAGCCGCAGTGAAACCTCCTGCCAAATCTATACCTTCTTGAATAGCACATAAGAATGCCTCTTGATCTTTCATTTTTCCTCCAAACGCCGCTCTCGTCGTGATGCCAAACGTCATCGAAAAGATTTCTCTGCTAAGATTAATCGTTCTTCCTGCCCTTGAAGAAATCCATCGAACAAGATTGGACACCTCCTCTTCCCGGATTGATCTGAAAGCACAGATTTTGGAGTTAAAAGTTGACTAATGCAAATCTTTCGCAACTGCTTCCAGTAGTACCCATATGGTGCAAACACAATGTCTGTGCAACCATAAGCTATAATATCTGCAACAAGAACAGCAGGCCTTTGAGCGAAGTTAACATCATGAGTTTTCATCACTTCTCGAGCGGCTTCAGGCGAAGAAATGATAACAGTTGGAATTTGGCCGAGTTGTAAGTACATAACAGGACCATATTTATTTGCCAAATCTCTTAGCTTGCGATGAGGCAAAACGCCAATGAAATGGAGCATGTTTCCTATAAGTGGCAGCCTCCATGGCCCTGGTGGTAACCTTAAACTTGATTTCTTGGTTAAGGAACCCTTAAATGCAATGAAGGTGAAGACGAAGATGGTAAATAGGATTAGAAAATAGGGGTTTTGAAGCTCCATGATAGTTGGGAGATGGTGATCAATGTAGAGAGATGAGTGGTTAATTTCTCTACTTAATTTATGTTGGATCCAACAATTGGATTACAATCTTTTTTATATGATTTATTTGTTATTTTTTATGATAATTTTTTTTATAACATAGGGAATGGTTTATTCAAATAGAATTTAATTTATGAATAATTGAAAAGGTTTGACTTATGAACTTAGACAACAATAACTTAGGAAACAAACACATTTTACATGAATTATAACAGTAACTTATGAAGCAAACACATTCTACATAATTTATAGCAATAACTTAACACGCATCAAAAAAAATTTGTTCAACTGGTACTTAACAGAACATTCCAAAGATTTTTGTTGTTCAATATCTTACCGAATTGTAAATAATTTGCGAGGGACTACTATCACCAACTACCCAAAAACTAACATATTAGGTAATGTTATACTCACCCACCCTCGAGTCGATCAATCATAACTTAGACTTTCATAGTTGCTCCCCTGAAACTTAGACAAAAATAATAATGAAAAAAAAAAAACATTTATTGATTTGAAATTTAGTTTTGACTTACATAATCCATTAACTATGTGGTTCACAATGTGCGAGGGATTATTGATTTCATATATAACTAATCTAGATAATAAATCTCATGTGATGAACTTCTATTTTAAATTATTGATAATACTTGATGAAGCCTAAAATATGACTACTACTAGCTGTAAATATTTGTTTCATTACAAAATGAAGAAAATATAGGAGACACGTAGTTAACTATATTGAACTAGGTAAATAGCTCCCTTTATTTTATTATTATTGTTATTATTATTTTGGTAACCGGATTGTCTGGGCAAGTTCGGGCACACTTTAACTGATTCCTAGGATCTATTGAATACTCTACAAACACAATGAACCAAGTAAATCACAAATTCAGTAAATAGTCATTTTGTGAGACTCGAACAAAAGACCTCTGGGTAACTCACCCAAATAGCTAAAGTCTTGTCGTCTAGCCACAAGACTAGTAGTTAATAGCTCACTTATTATTACCTTCACACCTTCAATTAATTAATTCTTATTACAAGAATTTGCGCGCTTGATTCTTTTTCTTGTTGATAACTTCTTTGTCATCTTAAACACTTCTCATTTCGTAACTTCTCAAGCAGACTAATGTGCATACGTCTCTCATTAAAACATATATATAATTTCTCCAATTAGTGGCAGCTTCCATGGCTCTAGTGGTAACCTTGAACTTAACTTCTTTGTTCTCAATTGCTTAAACACAACGAGGGTGAAGATGAAGATGGAAATTTGGGAACAGCAAATGTTAGCATTTGATCCATGGTTAATTACTTAATTTGATAGACAACCCAAACCAAATGGTCAACAATGCAAATTAGTCAATCTAATAAGATTGGATACCTCTTCTTAGCAAGGAGAAAAGAACTTTGAGCAAAGTTAGAATCATGAGTTTTCATTACTTATTCAGCAGCTTCGGGTGAAGAAACCACAAGGGTTGAAATTTTGTTTAGCTGATGAGGTAAAGAGACAGTGGAACGGTGCATTTTTCCGATGAGTGGCAGCTTCCATGGCCCTGCCGGTGGTAAACTTGAACTTTATTTTGCATTTGGATCGTTTCCCTATCTTTATTACCATTACCGTGAATATAAAGATCATATATATGTATATATATAAAAGAAAATGAAATTAACATTTTCATTATGTAATAAGTAGTAGGAAAATTTTGGGAGCAAGCTTCACTGGTGAGCAAGCCAAGGAATGAGTTTGAAAGGACCTAGCTTATAAAATGAAGAGGAAGATGGAGAGACATAATGTACTGTATTAAACAATGTACAAACTGAAACAATCTAGAGTAATACAAAATCAAAAACAATAAACACACACAAGTAAAGAGAAAGAAGAATCCGCGCAATTTACCCTAGTTCACCCAATTTGCAGACTACGATTACCAAAGCCGATATTATTGTAATATCGTCTCACCTCCCTTATTATAATGACAATAATTTGTCATATGATTTGCTATCATACTCATACAAGAGAAAAATAAGTTTATATACCAGATTTAAAGAGTAAAACCTAGCAGTACAAGGATTCATTTTCCTAAACTCAAACTCAATTAAGAATTAATTAATTAGAGAAATCCTACAATGGTTCTTTATAGAATAGGCCCAAATCACCTATGGGCCCGGGATCCCTAATGCGTCTGCATGACCTCTTTGTCAATTTAGCTTAGGGTTTGCGAATAAGCAAAAAATGGAGAGAAAAAGTGTTTGAATTTTCTTTACTGGTAAACTGATTTCAATAGTTACAGTGAAGAGTAAACTTTACTCTTTTATACAAAAACCGAAATGTAAGAGAAGGTCAAAGTGCTGCGTTTTTACAACTGTTTTTATTATAAAACAGAAACGACACCGTTTGCAGAATTACATTTTCCTCCTGCTACTTGGCTCTTTTGCACTTTTGTCCTTTGACCAACATCCCCTCTTAAACTGGACACTCTGCTTCTGCTGCTTCAGCAGTCTTTCACCAGCATTTCTTAGCATTTCTTTTCAACTCATTGGTTCTTTGACCAACATCCCCTCTGAAACTAAACCTCTTTCTTGTTCAACTACCTCTGTGCTCCTTTAATTCCTCCAGTTAACAAGTGCTCAACTTTTTCAAATAATCAAAAATCTTTCAACAACTCAAAAAACAACAACTCATTTTCCAGTTCTGCATTTTTGTTGCAATAATGCTAGCCTTACTCACCCTTCTTACTACTTTCTCTTACTCACTCATGTTAATCTCTCTTTTTACTCCTTTCTCTCTCTTCTTACACTCACCTACCACATGAGTGAGTAAGAGAAAATGAGTAAAAGGGTGAGTAAGAGTAGCATTACTCTTTTTGTTGCAGCTTCAGCAAATCATAATTCCTCCAGCTAACTCAACTTCTTCAAATAATCAAAAGCTTTCAACAACTCATACAACTCATTTTTCAGTTCTGCATTTGCAGTTTCAGCTTCACAATCTTTCAACAACTCATTTTCAGTTCTACATTTGCAGTTTCAGCTTCACAATCTTTCAACAACTCAAAAAAACAACTCATTTTCAGTTCTGCATTTTTGTTGCAGCTTTAACAAATCAAACTTCACATCAGCATCATCTCATCAACCAAGCTTAACAATCAGCAACCAAATCTCATCAACCAAGCTTAACAATCAGCAACCAAACATGACAAGCAACTTCATCACATCAAACTTCACATCAACATCACCTTAACAACCAAGCTTAACAAGTCAGTAATCAAACATGATAATCAACTTAAACAACATCTCATTTTCAGTTCATCATTTGCAGTTTCAGCTTCACAACTTAACATTTCTTAGCTTAATCATTTGAAGTTCAAGACTATCAAACACAGCTTACAAACTATATTACTCAGCTCAACCATCTGTATTTCTCCATTTTAACAACTCTCCACCATAAATTCATGAGCACAAATCTATAAACTGTTCACAAACTTCTACAGATCTACAACTTAACACTCTGCACCATAAATTTGTGAGCTCAACCAAAAAAAAAAAAAAAAACACAAATCTGCTGCAACTTTTGGCAATACTGCAATCTGCCACAACTGCTGCAACACTCACCACAAATTTTGGTGAACACACACCACAAAAAAAAAAAACTATAAACTGTAGTTTTATCAGTTAGGAGTCAGTATGTGGCACAGGGAACTGCAATCATATTCAGCTTCTGTCTCAGCTCAGAAAATTGAATAGCAAACAATGCTTTTGTCAAGACATCTGCAATCTGCAATTTTGATGGTACATATTGAACTGTCAGATTCTTGGCAAGAACTTGCTCCCTGATGTAGTGAGCATCTGTTTCTATATGCTTTGTTCTAGCATGGAAGACAGGATTTGAAGCTAAGGCTTCGGCACTTGTATTGTCTCACCAAATTACAGGTTTTGAGGGCAATTGAAGGGCTAAGTTCAGTGAACATACTTTGAAGACAGGATTTGAAGCTAAGGCTTCGGCACTTGTATTGTCTCACCAAATTACAGGTTTTGAGGGCAATTGAAGGGCTAAGTTCAGTGAACATACTTTGAAGCCATGCAACCTCTGTGGCAGTTTGTGCTAAGGCCCTGTATTCAGCTTCAGTGGACGATAATGCAACAACTTTTTGCTTCCTGGAGCTCCACTGAATTAGATTAGGTCCAAAATAGACACAATATCCACTAGTAGACCTTCTATCTTCAACATTACTACCCCAATCTGCATCAGCATAGCATTCAATATTCAGGGAACTTGCTGGTTTAAACTGAAGCCCATAGTGCAGTGTTCCTTTAACATATCGCAGAACGCGTTTACATGCTTGCCATTATAACTCAGTTGGGGCTTGTAGAAACTGACTAAGATGATTAACTGTAAAGCTAATATCTGGTCTTGTCAATGTGAGATACTGCAAAACTCCAATTGTGCTGCGATATAAAGTAGGGTTGTCAAACAGGTCACTATCATCACTCCTCAGTCTAGTACCAACAGCCATTGGTGTAGAGCATGAGTGGGCATCCATCATTCGGGTTTTAACAAGCAAATCTGAGGCATATTTGGACTGCCTGAGATGTATACCAACTGCTGTCCTGATTGCTTCCAGACCTAAAAAATACTTGAGTGATCCTAGATTTTTCAAAGCAAATTGCTCATTTAACTCTCTCAACAACTGAGTAATGTAGGCTGCATCAGAACCAGTTATTAAAATATCATCTACATAAACAAGAACATAGATTAGTCCTGATGATTTTTTAAGAACAAATAAATTGGAATCTAAAATTGAGTTTTGAAAACCTTTGTCTTGAAGAGCAGCCTTGAGTTTATCAAACTAGGCCCTAGGGGCCTGTTTAAGACCATATAAAGCCTTATTCAACTTACACACCTATGAAGGATGAGCAGCTGATTCAAAACCACTTGGTTGCTGCATAAACACTAACTCACTCAAAGTGCCATTAAGGAACGCGTTGTTCACATCAATTTGTTGAA